GCCGATGCACCACCAGGGCGCTCTTCTGCGGGAATGGGAGAGCCTGCGGGTAGGCTGTCGCGCTGCTCCCTGGTAGTAGAACCAAGAGCGGGAAGGCCCCACGTTAACCGTGGGCCTGTTCTGTTGTACGAAACGAAGACAAAAGTGGAGACTAGGCAAGGAAACTGAGTCTGAACCATGTTTCGGGCCCGGCGTTTTCCCTTCCATGACCACGTTAAGTCTGGCCCTGGTGAGGTCTGAGAGCCGCCTCTGAAACCCACTGTTTGCTCCTAACTTGTAATTCATGGTGTTTGACCAGAAGTGGCTGCTGTTTGGGGTCTCATGTGCACCTGTGCGCAACCCGTCTATATGAGAAGAGTGGGAGCAAGGAAGCTGGGCTCTGCTCCGGACCTGTTGAGTCTACTTCTCTGGGATTTTAGAGTGGTGTACGTTTATTATCCACCACATATGATACTTAAATTAAGTTTGAGAGTTAATTAACTACTTAATAGGAAAAGGGATATGATTCTAGAGCACAGTCACTAAAAACGAAACAAATTGGTCACTTGTGTCTAATCCTTTTGTCACCGGTTTCTTTGTAGAGTTAAAGAAAGCAAGTAAACGCATGACCTGCCATAAGCGGTATAAAATCCAAAAAAAGGTAAGTCCAGTGCTTAGGAGAACTGTATTAAATATAATCCTAACGTGATTTCTGCTCCACCTCTCCTCCACTAGGAGGTCTGGATTAATAGGATTTCACCTCATGAAACTGAAGTTAAATAGACTGTCCATGGGTACAAGTTCTTAGGCATCAGGAATATGGCTGTGGGAAAGTGCAGTAATTTGGTGATAAGAAAGTCTGTAAACTCTGATCAGTATGTTAACCCTTGCAGAGAATCTTCTGGTGACATTTTTTTTTGCTACAGCTTTTCTAGGTTATTTTACAGGCATAACTAACTTTAGCCAGATTGGCTAGTAAATTTCATAAACTAATAACAATTTTTATTATGATAGGTTCGAGAGCACCATCGAAAATTGAGGAAGGAGGCCAAAAAACAGGGTCGCAAAAAGCCTAGAAAAGACCCAGGAGTTCCAAACAGTGCTCCCTTTAAAGAGGCTCTTCTTCGGGAAGCTGAGCTAAGGAAACAGCGAGTAAGATATGTTAGCTGAAACTTTGAACAAGTGATGTGTGGGTATGTGTATTTTTTGAAAGTAATACCAAGTTGCTTTGGCTCACCCTTTTCTCTTATGACTTGGATACAGCTTGAAGAACTAAAACAGCAGCAGAAACTCGATAGGCAGAAAGAACAGGAAAAGAAAAGGAAACTTGAAACTAACCCTGGTGTTAAGGCATCTAACTTGGAACCTGTGAACGAGGTATGATCAAGTGTCTTTGTGAATGAGAGTTCTATTGTAGAAGCAAAAGTACAGACTTAGGGCAGGGGCTGTTGTACCTCCTGGGCAGAAAAAGACCATTCTCACTCTGTTTTACCTATAGAAATAACAATTGCAGTGCTCCTAATTAGCCATGGAAAGTGGAGAAGGACGTTACAACTGAACTGCTAATTTTGTGTTTTTCCATTGTTTTTTTTATCTTGTAGGAATTTGGGCAGCGTAAAGCTAAGAACAAAGCCAAGGCAGGCAAACAGAATCCAAAGAAGTTGTATTGTCAGGAACTTAAAAAGGTATTTTAGTCTAGGCTAGTGTGTAAAAATGATAATGAGGTTGGAAAAGACTAGAGTCATTCTTTTTTCCTGTTACCAACCCTGAAAAGGTGGAAGTGGAATTCACTTGAGCTAGAAAAATTTTTCAGAAAGTTGGCTTATCCTATTTGTTTATTGTGGCTTATTCTATTTAGAGCCTTTTCTGTTTAGCTAAAGGAAATATTCTTGTGTTTTAAATTTTTTGCACAGGAACAGTTTCCTATGAGCATGATTTACAAAAGTGGTACTTTGTGTTAAAGTAACATGATGATATAGCACATTTTAAAATCGAGTAAAACATGGGGTGCTTAGGTGACTCATTCAGTTAAGCATCCATGGTTGTTTCGGCTCAGGTCATGATCTCATGGTTCGTGCGATCGAGTCCCACATCCATGCTGTTAGCATGGAGCCTGCTTAGGATTTTCTCTCTCCCTCTCTCTCTGCCCCTCCCCCAACATGTGGGCACTTGCACTCTCAAAAATAAAACTTAATAGAGAAAAATACATTATAGCAAGCAGTGTGGAAAAAGTCTCTAAAATACTCTTGTTGGAAGTATTGTGTGACCTCCTAAGTGAAGGAGGTCAAGGGAGTGTCTTGGCATAGCTGCTCCCCAGAACTCCCATCCCCAATGCCCGTTTTCCTAAGCTCACTCCCCTCTGTGAATAGAACATGACTGCTGCTCAGCAGTCTTGGCAGGGCCACAGGGGCCTATCAAACTACGTAATTCACTATGGGAGGGTAATATGTTCAAGACAGTGGGGTATTTCCACTTTGATGAGAGACCAGAGGCTGCCAAGCAAACTTGTGTTTCACTTTCCTATGAGAAATGATATGTGAACATCCTTCATGCCAAAGTGAAGACAAAAGATCCAACTTTGAGTTGCAAAGTGGAAAACGCCAGTATACTTGTATGGAGGGTGTTGCCAGAGTAAGGGATGCTCCTCTGATAGTTTCTGCCTTGACAGGTGATTGAAGCCTCAGATGTTGTGCTGGAGGTGTTGGATGCCAGAGATCCTCTTGGTTGCAGGTGTCCCCAGGTAGAAGAGGCCATTGTCCAGGGTGGACAGAAAAAGCTGGTGCTTGTATTAAATAAATCAGGTGAGCAAAAGGGATGTTTTATGTTCCATATGCACTAGTGAGGTATGAGGAAAACATGTGAGCAGTCTGATTTTTACTGAAGACTGTTAAGATCCAACTCTGATCTCAGTAAAGCCAGTGCATATGGTCTTGTTGCCAAAGACAGTGCTGGGCAATGGGGTGGAGGTATTTTCTGTAAGAGATCAATTGGTTTCAACTTTCTTTTTGACATTCATTACTTAGCACTTTGTCGTCTTCAAGAGTGTAAGCTTCTGTACATAGCTTACTGTGCAGTATATTTCACATAGGAAGAGATGGCAGTATGACAGTATTTATGTGAAGTGCAGGTACGTACGGGTTTGAGCATCAGGGCCAGGAAAACCCAGAACAGAGACTTGGGAAGCAGAAAGTAATATTGGGATCCACAGTTACTGCTGGGGCCAGTAAACATGGCTGATATGTGAGAGTAAATTTTGGAAACATAGCCCTAGAGTTGTAGGGTAATGATCTACAGGTTGACTTAATTCTGAAAGGGTGAGTAGTACAGAGGAGAATTGAAGAAATACAGAGGTATAGATACCAAAATCTGTTGAGATAAGGGCAACATAGTGGGGAGCTTACCCTCTCCCCATCTTCCACTTAAATCTTTTTGAAAAAACTGAAGAGACAAACCAGAGTGAAATCCAGTTTATCAGATAGTGCATGTTCCTATCAACAAAATTACCAAATTGGAGTATGTGTCTTATTCCTAAATCCTATTAGATTTGGTACCAAAGGAGAATTTGGAGAACTGGCTAAATTATTTGAAGAAGGAATTACCAACAGTGGTGTTCAGAGCCTCAACAAATCTGAAGGACAAGGGCAAGATAATCAAGGTACTCTTCACTGTTAGTGGTGGGAAGTATGGTTCTTTCAGATTTTGGATGGCTGAAATATGATGAGTGTACAAAATCTTGATTAAAAAATGAGAACTCATAAGATCCAACTCTGATTTCATCCAGAGATAATCTGAAAGATAATAGTGTGATTTTAATAGCTGGGTTCTGGAACCAGATTGCTTGGGTTTTATCTGGTGAGTTATCAGAAGTAAACTTAACTTGGAATTTTATTTAGCATTTGAAGTTAAAGAAGAGAGCTCCATTCAAAAATGAAGTCTGTGTTGGGAAAGAAGGCCTTTGGAAGCTTCTTAGAAGTTTTCAGGAGACTTACGGCAAAGCCATTCGGGTTGGAGTAATTGGTGAGTTTCAGTTCAACACATCTTACGTATTATCTCTTAAGTGCCAAGAATTTTTCCATGTTAACTGTGTGGGGTTGGTGCTTAGTAAAGGGCTTGTTCAAACATTAGCTTCTTGCCCATTTCAGATACACACAAAGAAACGTTAATTGCTGCCTATTTCAGTCTTTTGCCAGATGTGCACTGTAGGAAGTTGGCTTCTGAAAGCTCCCTAGTTTATTTGAATTAATCCTCCTACCCTTGATTTCTTGTGCAAGAAATGAAGATGCTAAGATTCGTCTTAGTGTTGAAATGAAGACACTCAGATCCAACTCTGATCTTGCTCTAAACATCAGGCAAACCTAAAGCAGTGGAAATTTGGTAATTACCAATTACATAATGCATTTTGTTCTGTGGATTTCCCATTTGTAGGTTTCCCAAATGTGGGGAAAAGCAGCATCATCAACACCTTGAAACAAGAACGGATATGTAATGTTGGTGTATCCATGGGGCTGACAAGGTAAAAGTGAGTTCTTACATAATTATAATATTTTATCATAGATGAGTCAATATTTTGTTTTCAATAGCTTAAGGAAGACCATTCTTTCTTTAGAGGTGTCAGTGAAAGGAACAGGGTTACGTTAGTGCTAGGTTTAGGGAAGAATGGATTCGAGTGGAATAGCTCACATCTAGTTTGAAAGACAAGCAAATAGATTGAGGGGAGGGGAAATCTTTATGGCAGAGGAAACAGCATGCATTTAGGTCAACATATAGGCTATAACGTAGTGTTTCTTTTAGAAGTAGATGGAGCACCGTTAGGGTTTCAGATAAAACACGAAGCAAATGATGATAAACTGGATCTGACAGACTGTGTGCTGAGTTTGTTCAATCCAACCCTGAGCTTCGTGTTGTCTCTCATCCTTCAGGTAAACCAGTGCTCCCATCAGTTACCATCCCTCTTGTTCTAGGTGCATGCAGGTTGTCACCTTGGACAAACAGATCACAGTCATAGACAGTCCAAGCTGCATCGTGTCTCAGCTTAACTCTGCCAGCACACTTGCTCTGAGGAGTCCAGCGAGTATTGAAATGGTGAAACCAGTAGAGGCCGCTAGCGCCATCTTGTCCCAGGCTGATGCTCGACAGGTATAAGAACCTCTTCCCTTGAGCTCCATTTTCTCTTTCATCGTAAGCATTTAAGTGGGAGATTTTTCAAGGCTTTTTACACTGTATCAGATGAATGACATTTTCAGTTTTCCTTTTTTTTTTTTTTTTTTTTTTTTTTTTTTTTTTTTTTTTTTAAGGTAGTACTGAAATTTACTGTCCCAGACTTTAAGAATCCTCTGGAATTTTTTACATTGCTTGCTCAGAGAAGAGGACTGCACCAAAAAGGTGGAAGCCCAAATGTAGAAGGTGCAGCCAAACTGATGTGGTCTGAGTGGACAGGGTAAGTCTCCTTTCTCTTGGCATTTTGAGGACCACATGGAATGAAGACCACTGGTTTTTGACAAATCTTGTTTTTAATACTAGTGCCTCCTTAGGTTACTATTGCCATCCCCCTACATCCTGGACTCCTCCTCCACATTTTAATGAGGGCATCATGACAGACATGAAACAGGGCTTTAATCTGGAAGAATTGGAAAAGAACAATGCACACAGCATACACAGTAAGCAAGGCTTGTGTTTGCTCTCTTCGTTGGCTGACAGGGCAGTAAAAGGTCTCTGTTTACATGGGCTATGTTCCTTCCCTAGGCATCAGGGGCCCTCGTTCAGCCAGGAGCATCCTTTTCCAGTCTTCAGGTCTAACAAATGGAATAATAGAAGAAAAGGACATTCCTGAAGAACTGCCAAGACAGAAGGAGAAACAGCAGGCGGAGGGGGAGGACCACAACGACCTTGACAGTGACCAGGAAAGTGTTGATGAAGAAGCTGATGTAAGTATGTTGCACACAAGTTGCTTAAGCTTGAGTGCATTTTTTATCATTAATGTTTAACAAATGGGAAAGGGATGAAAGTAGAAATTAAACAGTTCATGATAGACTACAAAAAAAAAAAAAAAAA